TAAACCATGATTATGATTTTATTAAGCCAAGATGTACAAAAACTACCCCCCCCCCCCCAAAAAAAAATTGTGTCATAAAATCAACCTCTTTTTGTTCTTGATGCGAGGTCGGGCCAGTGGCCTTCCTGGTGCATCATTCGAGTCCTGGCTCTCATCCCCTCTGACAGCCGTGGCACGGAAGTTTCTCTGGCACGTCACTTGAACAGGACAGGACGCCAGTTTTCCACATGGTCTGTAAAAAATGGTGTTCTTTATTAGGTCAATGTCTTGTGCCCTGTAAGTGAAGAGGGCAAGGAGATAGCTCCAGTTTTTAAAATACCCCACACAAATTCAGGGCTTTGGAGTTGTGCATACATTATATCCACTCTCTTTATTTTGTCTGGTTCTTAGTCATATTTATATATATTAAGCCCAGCTTAAAATCCTATTAATTATTCAATGCTCTGAATTAACTTTACAGTTACTGCAATTTACAGTGGAGAAAATATTTAAAATTATGTGACATGTCTCACAAGAGCAAAAGTAAAAGTGAGTTTTGTCTTGGCTAGTCTACATTTCAAAGGGCAGAGAAAACTGTAACATGATCAAGACATGTTGTTTTTGTTTGTTTTCAAATCCCTTTAGCAGCGAGCATTTAGCTCTTGGCAGCACAATTCCTCCTTCATTGAGGCATCTCATTGGTTTTGGAGTTGTAAATGCTTGTATGCATCCCTGCAGGATCTCAGGTAGGTGGTAGTCTTATCCTGACACAGGCTTGTGCCCAAACATCTTGCCACAAGAGAACCAAGGTGCAGTGTTCACTGTCCTGTTTTCCATCAACCTTCACGGGGACCTTAGATAGTAGACAATTATAGGGGGTGTAGGCACACTCTAGTTCTGAGAGATGGGAGCCATAAAGTGCAACCAAAGACCAGCGATCGTCGGAGCAGTCCAGTAAGGGGTCCCACTGAGCAAGGGGTAACGCGTTCCTTCCACAGCGAGACGTCTACATCACCAAGAGTAGCTTGTGTTTGCCCAATCCCTGCCACCTGTTGTCTCCTGGCTATCTGCTGTTAACATTTCTGTTCATGGAGCAGAATAATCCAAGGGATGGCCAAATCTACTAAGACAGATGATCGTCACTCCATGGGTCAGCGAGCATTTGCTAGGATATCTGCAGGGATGTCATCTGTTTCCAAGCAGCCTATTCCTTACTGCTACAAGGCCTTCTGGATCTAAGGAGACATCTCACAATGAGTCATCTGGCAGTCTGTGGGTACCATGCCCCGTCAGTAGAGCTCCCACGAGAGGGAGGGAAGAAGATGTCGACAGTGAGTTCCTGAAAGAACAGGTCGGCCTGCTGTGACGCCAGACCTACCATAATGGTGGATGTGAATGGACCCTTCTACAAGCCGAAGGGTCGTTGCTCACATCGCACCTCACAGGGCTATGGTACCTCCTGGGCAGAGCTCCGTCTGCAACCACTGCTCCTATGCCTTCTCCCTTTTCCACAGAGCAGGGGTCCCCAGGCTGCTCAATGAGGACTGGGAGTTAAGTTAGCGTCTGGGGTTTCACCCTCAACCCTTACATCCCAGGAGAAAGACATAGAAACTGGAAATGGAGAGTTCATGGATCCCGTTGTCCAGGTCTGAGCTTCAGTGTAGTGTCGGCTACATGCCCAGGCAGGGCCAAGCCTTAACCGTGAAAGACCCTGCACACCGCCAATCAAATTCAGTCAACCTGAGTTGCGGTCAGCCAGATTTTCTTCCATGGAGAGGCAAAATTCTACCATCGTAGCACAATAATACTGAAAGCGATCTTCGCCTTCAAAAACATTCAAGTTTATTTTCAAAGGTCATGAGTCAAATGATCGTATGTACACAGAGTGTTTGATAAATGCTAAACTATGGACAGTGTACGTTTAGAGAAGCTGAATCTAGAACGCTCACGACATTTCCCATGTCTGTAGGGTTCAAGAACCTCTCAACAGAGGAACTGCGAAATTTGTTTTTTTAGAATTATCTTGTCCGTGTCCGAACAGACACTGCAATAATTGATAGGCTCCACACACACATGAGATTAAATGTAGAATGACGCAAACTATTTTTAGGTAAGGCGGCCATCTTATGTGATGTCAGACGGGGATACCCCTCCGATCACGAGACTAGAATCTACATCTAAATTTTGCGAACCCAATGGCACCAAAGATCTGGTAGAGAACCTTTGATGGCACGACGCTTTGGTGCGATGTTTTTCCAGGAATATCGGAATGTGATTATGATGCAGGGTTCCGATGATGTTGTTGTTTATCTCTTCTGCACATTGTTTATTGCGCCCGGGGGAGGGGGGGTTAATCTTCTGGCATCTTTACGGCAATTTTTGCGCGCTTTACTGTCTTTGCGTTTACCGTGTTTCAATGACAAGCACCACTACCGGAATTCCGAAATGTTATTAATATACCTGAAACCTTGTAACCAATCAGTAGAGCATGGCTGACGGGCTGCAGTTAGCCCGGCAAGTGTGAAATTTTACCATGCGAAACACATCGATAGGCCTACACATCAAGCCACTGACCCTAACATGTCGTTCCATGTGGTATCTCCAATAGAGAATCTTTGTCTCTACTACACGATCTTTAGTATCTCCACGGCCCACGGGCTTCTAAAAATAGTCTGGGGGTATCCCAGGATGTGATGACATCACATTGCTATATAAATTAGCCGCCATCAGGCAAGTGCATCGTTTCTACGTGTTTAGCAGTCGCATGCATGTCTCCATGACACAGCGTCATCTTGGTGCTGAATACTAAATGAAATGGTTAATCGACCCGACCCGATCTGATCTGCAATGGGCGCCTGGTATAACCAGCCCTAACTCCGTTGACCATTAGAGTTAGTTACCCAAACTTACTAAAGCAGCCTCTCCAGCAAGGGAGTCACAGTCACAGGCAGGGTCAGAGTTGCGAAGCCGAAAAGTAAAAGCTTGATTTCCTACCTTCCGATACTTCCAAGGTCTGCGGTGAAATTTCCTTTGCTGTGTACTGTTCTAACAAGACGTACAAGTTGAGACCGTATCATTATGAAATGCTGTTCTACTCTCGTAGGTTTGTTGTTCTTGACCTGGGCCTACACACTACAGATCAAGATCCCTGCACTGCTGACTGCTGTCGGTCAGTAGGACGGACAAAATACGGAGTACGGAGTGAAAGAAAAAATATAAAAGTGAGAGTAGTGATCTCCCTTGGTAAATTGATTTCTTTACGTCACTTCTTTTCATTTCGGGTTCGCTTTTCACTTTGGTCACTGGCCAAAGCCTATCATTAATTCAAAATGATGTAGATCTACGACAGAGATGTTCACGTACAACGAGTAAGAGTAACGTGTTATTTTGAAACTCATGTATCTCAGACGTTTCGTGTTGTACATAGATCTAATCTACCCTTCCTTCCTTTTGAATAATTACCCTTCCTTACGTATATTATAACATTATAATTATATATATATATATATATATATATATATATATATATATATATATATATATATATATATGCGTGTATGTATATATATATATATATATATATATATATATATATATATATATATATATATATACATCATGTAAAATGTATAGATCTTATATTTATATTAATAAAGTTGCAATTTGCAGAATGCAAAGTTTGCCTCACCCAAGGAGTTTAGAACTAATTACTTTTAATCTCCTTGGCCTCACCACAAATGACCTTACAACATGTATGACCTCCTTACTCTAAAATGATTAAACCACTTAAAGTTCATAACAGGCCCTGTAAACATCAAAAGCCAGACCACCATGAAAAGTGAAAAGACGAAAAAACGCGCCAACGACTATCCAGGCATCCTTTGCCTTTAGTCGAGTCGCACCTGGTGCCTTTCAGTGGACGTTTATTATCGGGGCTTTTGCCGCCTTCTGCTAGTTCTTTTTTAAAGGTTTCTAGGCTGTGCCGTGTGTGTGTGTGTGTGTGTGTGTGTGTGTGTGTGTGTGTGTGTGTGTGTGTGTGTGTGTGTGTGTGTGTGTGTTGGGGGGGGGGGGGGGGGGCCCTTCCTCCTTTTCCCTTTTCCATCAAAGGGGGGGGGGGGGGGGGGGGGTAAAATAATATCTAAGATATATTATAATGTAATATCACTACATCCGTGGCAAAATGTTCACGGAAATAATGAAGATTCGCAATCGCCAAAGACAGCTTCAATAAAATGAGTTCAATGAGTTAAAATTATGAATAATATTTTAATGATTACAGGGTCTGTCCCAAAAGTAAGTTTCCCGGTTTTGTAAATATAAACTATTTTTATTTTATGGACATCAAATTCTGTAGGCCTACATATAGACAGAAACACGTTTTCTATTCAACGTAGGCTAACAACCGTTGACCGCAATGCACTTTTTCATCCGACGTAGGCCTAACTTGCGGTCACACGCAGACCACCAAGGGATCTTTAACGTGCGCAGCTTGCACACGGGCACTCCGAGATTTTTCGCCCTTGTCCGAGAAGGCTAGGAGTAGATCTTTCCTACCAGAAGATCAGGGGTGTGGCTGAAAGACAGCAGTAAGAAGGAGCTAGGGAGACGCAGTAGAAAGGCTGCAGAAAGTGTCATTAGCCCAGATGAGGGGGCAAAGGAGGAGAGGGGGTGGGAGGGGGCAGAAAGAGGAGACGAGAGCAGACGACAGAACATTGCTAGAGAGCAGGAAAGAAGGTAGGAGACAATTTTAGAGAAGACAATTTTTCAGACGCTACCCGGATTCGAATCCGGGACCTTTGAATGAGAGGCGAACACCTTAACCTCTAGGCCACGAGAGCCCCACGACCTGATTTCAATTCGGCTGATCCTTTACGCAACATTCTTGCTTCGAGCACAGTTATTTCTTCCTCTTCTTCAAATTGCTGCCCCCTTATTAGTTAGTAGTCCTCCTTTGATTTTGGGGGAGAAATGAAAGTTGCATGGATAAAGGGGTATATTTTTTCAAAAGAATCATAACAGATGATGAAAAATGGGTGTATTCTTGAGATCCAGAACAGAAAAGACAATCACCAGAATAGATAAACCCAGAAAACTCTGCGCAAGCAAGGTGCTTGATGCACATCATATTTTTCGATCACAAAGGTGTAGTTTAGAACTAACAGGTTCCCTCTGGCACAACATTCAATGCTGACTTAACTGACTATAACGAGATGGTTCTTCAAACAAAGCTGGGACAAGCAATCAGAAGAAAGCGGACGGGTCCGCTTGAGCAAGGTGTTGTCTTCGATCATAACAACGCGCCTGTGCACACTGCTCTTAAGAGCTTCGATTTCCTGGAGTCCTGGGAAAGGGGAAATTTTTTAATACATCCGTTATTCCCCAGACTTAGAATCATGAGACTTTCATTTCTCTTCCAAAATCAAAGAAGGACTAGATCTAAGGTTGTAGCGATTTGAAGACGAGAAAGCGATAGTAGTAGTAGTAGAGGGTTTTACGGCGCTCGCAACTTCATTAGGTCATATGAGCTCCAAGGGGTGGGTGTCAACAGGGAACTCTTTACTGGGAATCAGACTTACTCTGCTCACCTCTCTAGCTTCAACAGCACAAGGTCTGCTTCAACTAGCAAGGCACCCCGGAAATAGCAGGTCAAACATACAAAAGAAGTAGAGGAAAATGACAATAGTAAGGATTATAAAAGAAAAAGCAGCATTCCCTGTTGTAGATCAGGCACAGTTATGAGCGTGACATGAATCAGCCCATTTACTATTCTACTGTGCTTGAACAAGAAATGTCCCCCCTTTGGGAATGGCCTAAAGACACTACAGTCAGTGGAACCGCCTCGGGGGGTAGAAAGCGATAGTGCTCGAGACAAAAGCTGCAGCTCTCATGCATGTAGGCTGAAACATTACATGGTCACAGCATGTGACCGCAAGCTACATCGAATTACAAAGTGCATTAAGATCAACGAATGCTATGTTTAATAGAAAACATGTTTCTGTAGGTAGGCCTACGTACACAATTTTACGTTTGTCAAATTAAAATTGTTCATTTTACAAAACAGGGGAACTTACTTCTGGGACAAACCTCGTGCCTCGTATTAGCCTACTAAAATATGCTATGTGTGATCGACCCTTTTATGTGGCTGCAACTACTGGACAATTACCAAAGATGGGGAATAGCATATAAAATAGAAACAAATGAAATGTGTTTTAGGGGACTTAAAGAGAATGACATGGAAGAAAAAGAAATCAAACAAGGAAGTACTGAAAGAAGTCCACGTGGGCTACTCACTATAAGAACGGAGGAAGCGAAAGGCTGTGAATATCTTTGCTCAGTAAAAATAGAAGGCAAACCACGCAAGGATACACCCAGAGAAAAGCATTAATTTGGAAAACTTCTTCAGACGGATGATGGAAAGACAAGGATAATTTCGGGGTTGTTTTGGGTTGTTGGTGGGGGTTTTTTTTAGCGTCCGAGCGAGCTGAGGAAGGATGGAGAACCATGATCACTATCACTGATGAACATTTCGGATCAGGCACTGGCACATGATGATGATGATGATGATGATGATGATGATGATGATGATGATGATGATGATGATGATGATGATGATGATGATGATGATGATGATGATTTGAGAAGGTATAGTCTGTGCCTAGTACGGGTTGGATCAAGACTGCACCCTATGTGCCCTTTTGTCCCTCTAAACAGATCCCAAGTACCTTATAAAGGTCAACAAGCCTCTGAAGGAGCATAGATCAATGGAACAAAGGCAGCCTAAAGCGGCACTGAAACCCTACAATTCACTATTCTGCCATGGATGATCTGATGCGGTATGCTTCTTCTTTCCTGTCAAACCTCTACCGTCTTTATCTCTCGCCCCTCCCTCTTTTTTCAGCATGTTATTATCTAGTTCATAAACATCAAATCTTCGGCACCTACACGACCTATTTACACGTTACAAATGCCGTAAAACTGCTAAAATAAATCAATTCTGACCCCAAAGATGGAGAATCCTTGCTGGCCCTGTCCCATGAAATGCCAGAATCCGTGGCCGGCGTCTGTCTCGAGCAGTGTATCCGACAAATGAGGTCATAGTTCAACACTTGTTTGTCTCAAGTTTTGTTATGCACAATCATAACAGCTGTTGATTATACAGCATGGAAAATGAATACTCTGCACGATATTCTTAGCAATTCTTTTAAACATCAAGAGGGAAATTACGAGGTTTTTTTCTCCATTTTCAGGAAAATCAAACATACATAGCCTATACACGGTTAGAGAGATGATCATGTGTTCAAACAGACAGCCGACTGAAAAAGGAATGGTGAAAGCAAAATTCCATGCTCGACTCATTGATCTGTCTCAGTCTCTGTTTATGCGTCATCATTCTGCAAAGCGTGCAATTATGAAATTTACAAGACACTACGTTCAATTGCCAATTAGTGAAGATAATGAACTCCCGCGTTGTGCGTTTTCCTTCCTTAACCTCTTTGTTTTAGTTTTAGAAAAATATACCAACACATGGCAGTTACCAATTACAGTCCAACTCCGTAATACCTCTTACCCTGAGACAAGCACAAAGTTGGCGGTGCAGTGGGGCTTGCGGTTAGATAGCACCGATTGTCATCTTGACTAGTGGTAGACGTAGACTGGTACTCGTAGAGACTAGAGATCTGTGGCTGGTATTTACTCATCTGGTACTAGTATTGTCTTTGTGCGATTGTCATGTGTAGGGAAAAACGACTGGCGACAATACATACAGCTGAACTTAATGTACATTCAAACTGAACATTTCTGCGGATGAGACGCTAGGCTATTACGGGGTGCCCACTAAAGTTGGATCGGGCCGATCGCCAAACTCGGTCGCCAGAAACTGAAAACAAACACGTTTGTTTTTTAGGAGACCGAGTCGGGCGATCCGCCTGATCGGTTGATCCCATCTGTAGTGGGCACCCAGTATATGTATCCAGGACCCTGCAGACGTACATGATATCCATCTTTTTTTGTTGTACCCGATTTCGTCAGTCCTCGGGCCGTCGCAGCGTTTCGGTCATCGGGCTGATATCTGGCCACGCCAGATATTTTGCCGACCGGCCGAGTCTACGCAGCTCCTTTGAAATTTCTCCAGGCGACTTCACAATTTCATTCCAATTAAAACAAAAACAAAACATGTATAAACCAAAGCCTAAAATAGTATCAGTTTCACATTCAGCGCAAATCAGAGCAAATCGGCGACAAACGCAAGAAATAACCGAACTGATTGAGGTGTGTGGGGTAACGAAGTTTGACTCTTTATACATGTAGGCCTACACGTATGTCATAGATAAATGGTCATGCATACGTAACACAACACACAAATAGGCCTACATTCATATCATAATATTTGCATGCATATAGCGCAATATACGCTCTACGTTATGCTCTTTAATGGCGCACTACAACTTTCATTTCTCCAGCATACCTCATAGAACAATCAGAAACATTCTCGGTTTCGGGAAGCATACACTAGAAGATGCCATTGCACGCGCTAAAATATTAACACACTGACAAGTTCTTTCGCTGTTTATATCCGTGTTACCAATTTCAACCTGGATGAAGTGGGGAAATTCGTGAAAAATACATTTTCCAAGAACACAACGTCGGGTCCCTGGCGAGATTCGAACACTTGACCGTTCGGTTGCGAGTCCAAGAACCCAACCACAAGGCCGTCAACGCTACAGATTCATCCATAACATAATATTATACATTGTAAATAACAAACATAATGTACATTATATGAAAAGACAGTGTCGGACGGAAAGAAGAGACAGATCACAAGAGTAGCATCTACATCTAGTCTAAATGACCGTAACGTTCAAAGTTTTGGAAGAGCAATTACAGTGACACACTAGCAAGGTGGTACAATATGGACGAAGAAGAAGATATTGGTGGTCAAACCTGTTCTACCGGCCACCTGTATAGACAATAATTTGTACAAACGTACACTTCCCGCCCCCCCCCCCCCTTGAGGGTTTAAATTAAATATTTTTTTAACATTATAATGACATTGTGTAAGACGTCCATCCGTTTAAACGGTCATTTCATCATCGACAATGGATTACAGTCTTGGACAACGTCGGTTAATGGCACTGTGTAAGACTTGCACCTGTCAAGGAGAGAAACTTTTCTTCTCAGTTATGGGTGGCCGTCTCAGGCAATTTCGACTGTAGAGATACATGATGATTTAATCATGTGTGTTATAAGTTGAGAGCGAGCGACAGAGGCGAGAGCTCCAACAGCCACGGTGTTCTCTCAACCTGGAAGGACTTGACTGTGGTGACTAGCGGCGAGCCCCGGGATCGGCAACTGAAACTAGTGAGAGCGCGAGGGAAAGGAGCCGCACTTTGAACTAGTGCGCTGGAGGGTGGTGGGGGAGGCGGCATTGGTGGTGGTGGGGGAGGGGGAAGAGAAGGGGGAAAGGAGTCCGGCTATTTTTGGTAGCACAAGGGGTTTCCCCAACCTGCAGCGTATCGTTATATCGATCGAGGCTAGAAAACAACGCCATCAGCTGATTTGGAATCTGACGATGCAAGCGTGACGCGGTCCGCGGCCTTGTTACAGTTTCTGACTGGTATGTCCTACAAACCTGGCATACCTATGCCGAGTCTCATTGAGCGCTTTACTTTATCTTGTCAAACGAGGGCTGAATTTGAGCGCAGGTTCTACCCACGGACATGGTGTTGACATTGATTTATCTAGGCTAGCCTACTGATGAAACAGATACAAATTATTTAATCCATTCAGACGTAACTTGACCAATTTTTTGAAAAAGAAAAGAATACATGTACATAATAAAACCAAGGTCTTTCATAGACGCTAGATCTACGCTTTTGATCAAAAAATTTTCTTTTAAAAAGTACACAAAACATGAAAAAAAAATAGTACAACTGGAAGCAGCACAGTTTGTAGTTTGTTAAACAATGAGTGTTTTTCAGATACACATGAAACTAGCCTAGATATAATTAATAATAATAATATGAACTTATGAAAATAATCAATCATCTAGAACAGCTCAACCCACAAAAAACCCAGTTTCACAGACCAAAAATTATTTAGTAAAGACTAACATTTAGGGATCTGTGTCATAAAGTGAATTCAGAAACAATTTTGATTTAAATTCAAGACGCATTTTTGGACTCGACCACCCTAGTTTCGAAATCGGCAGTCCAGGCCTATTTTCTTTCGTGAAGGAGTTACTGTTCCTGATTTCGAAAGGTCACAGAGCGCATCTTCTTTCAAGCATTTTCAGCGATTTGAAAGAGCTTCATTTTGTAGTTTCATAATTACAAATTATAGTTGGAATTCGTATAGATATAATCACGCTCTTTGTTGAAAAGTTATGTGCTTAGAGTGAGAAAAACAGACTCGCGACAGGTGGCGCGTATCACCCTTGCGCCTTTCGGAAAGGGACGCATGGGTACCGCCATTTTGACGCTGTTCCCGGGCGAAATCATCAATTACCCATACCCCTCTAGGAAGTATTGCTTACTGGCATGATCATTATGTGTTTTTGTTGTGGTTTTTGTGAGTTTTTTCATTGTATGGACCAATATGTGATAAGTGGACACGGCCGAACGGCCGCTGGATTAACTATTCTTTAACCTTAAGTCACTTACAATGTTATAAGTGTGATCAGATAGGTGAAAAGGACCTAATTTCTTCATCGAGAATTTATGCAGAAGAAGCGGTCATTCTTCTCTGTGTGGCCGGGATCCTCCCGACGGAGTGGAATTCCCCCCTCGAATAACGAGGATTTACCCAATCTTGACAGCGTTTCGGCGTTTTCTGCTGCTGATATTGATGTCGCGCTGCCGTAACGACCTCAGCGCGGTGGGCTAAGTGCTTACCTTACTGGGCTTTAGTGTACGCGTGCTTGTTCCATCATCCAAGATGGCCATTGAATCGAACAAAGACGATTTTGAAGAGGTGGCTTTGGAGTACGAGAAACAACGCCACAGTTTCATAGCTGAATTGCGCCGATTTAACGGGGGTAGAAGGTGAGTCTTACTTTTTCTTTTAATTTTCACTCAAATTTATTATGCATTTTCGTTCGTTTTCGTCTTTTTTCCGTGCCTTGTTCAACCCTCTCGGATGATGCAAACGCCTTCCCTTCGTTTTCGAAAGACAAGGAGCCCGCCACATTACACACATTGGCATTGTTGTTACTCCTGGTGACAGTGATTTTAGTGTAATGTAGGCTAGCTCCTACTCTTGTTTCTGCTTTTCCTTTTGTTAGATTGGGATGCTTTTTTCCCATTAGAAAGGCCCGCCGAGGCCTAAATTTTGTTTTGATTGGCCATGCCATGGGCCATGGCATGGGCACGGCGACTGTCCATGGTCTATGACATGACGAGCAGGGCCAGCAATAGTAGCCTAGAACCTAGGCTCTCTAGATATAGCGTCTAGATTAGATAAATATTGAATGGTAAATTTAGAGAATGAAATCAGCCTACACTCATGAATACAAGTAGCTAGAATCTAGATCTAGATCTAGATTCTAGATCTAGTAGGCCACAAAGACTCCCAAGACAGGAGGACTTTTCAGTAACGATCGACCAACCCAACAAACACTAATCAAGTTCGTGACCTAACCCCTACCCACTGACCTCAAACCCGTACCCCTGCCCCTCTGTTCTACTCTGACTCATAGATCTAGTGGTCGCTCGTTATGGAAGCCCTCCCACTAAGACTAAGACTTTGAGTTGATCTCTGAGCCTGGGCAATCTAGAGTTTGGGGGAGGACTTCCGTAACGAGCAACCATGATACAGAAGAGTAGAATAGAGGGGTGTAGGGTTAGGTCTCTTCTTTAAAAACTTTATTATTGTGTTTGTTGGGGTGGTAGCTCGTTACGGAAGTCCTTCCGAGTTTGAAATTTTGTTTATTTTGCTGGATTTGGATAAAATAGGGTTTGGCCAAGATTAGGTCTAGATCTAGAGTCTAGATAATTCTAAAATCGAAGTGTATACAGACCCGGTAAACGGGAACAAAGTTACGAAGTATACACACCCGGTAGGGGAACTCTTTTGTGATTTCGGGAAGTTTCAACCCCCAGACCCGGTAGAAATCGTGTGCGTGTGTGTGTGTGAGAGAGAGAGAGAGATGTGCTAGCAAAATGTATGACATGCCCCAGTTGGCAGGAAAGAACGAGAGAAATATAGAGTGGGAGATAGGTGGGGAGAGAGAAAGACAGAGACAAAGAAAAAGAGAAGGCGAGCGATACACAGAGGAGAGAAAGGGGCAGAGAAATAGAGAGGGTCACTGTTGGATTGAAATTATGCATTGTTCTTTTCTTCAAATTGTGATTCCTCCAATTCTGAAACGGAGGAAAAACGATCGTTCATCGAAAAGACATCTGCAATCTGCATTTAGATCTAGAATCTAGATCTAGGCTAGCCTCGAAACTAGATCAAAGATTTAAAATTGTCTGTCTAGATCTAGACCTAGGCCATAGATCTCGAAGCACCTAGGTCTACGCTGA